CCAAGGACCCCGGCCCAAGGTAGTGCTGGACCCGGCGCCTCCGGCATCAACCTGATCCACGGGACAGGAAGAGGAGGGGGCAAAGTCTCGCTATCGCCGGACCACCCCCCCAAGAAGCCTCTTTTGTGCCTACAAGCACCCCATTCACTTCCGGGTGCCGATGGCATTGTGTTTGTGGTAAATACTGTTGTGAACCCCGGGCCCGTTCAATTAGCGCCCGCACAACTTACCGCTGTTATAGCGAGAAACATAAAATACAAACATTTTCAAAAAGAGAGCAAACTTCTTCCGCATTTCACGAGCGTTGGGTCCCCGCATGGTGGCCTGTCGCTCAAACCAACCCAACCCCTTGCCACGCGGGCCGAGGCCTGGCGAGCCATCCCCGGGTTCTCAAGGTGGGTTCTGGGGATAATAGAATGAGGTTATTCACTGCAATTCACTCGAAGACCCCCGCGATTCTGCGGTGTGGTCTCCACCTCGGTTCAGAGCGAGGATGCACACGTCCTACGCGCCAAGGTGATGAATTTACTGGCGAAAGGAGCCATAGAAATTGTTCCCCCAGCTCAGAGCGAGTCAGGCTTCTACAGCCGTTATTTCCTCGTCCCCAAAAAGGATGGCAGCCTAAGGCACATCCTAGACACCTGAACTGCACCCTCATGAGACAGCCATTCAGGATGATTACATTGAAGCAGATCCTCTCGCAAGTGTGCCCAGGGGACTGGTTCTTTTTGTTGGACCTGAAAGATGCCTACTTTCACATCCAGATAGCCCCCCACCACAGGCGGTTCTTGAGATTCGCCTTCGAGGGAGTGGCATATCAGCACACGGTCCTTCCCTTCGGACTGTCCCTAGCTCCCCGCACTTTTACGAAGTGCATGGATGCGGCTCTTTCCCCGCTGAGACAGATGGGAATACGCATCCTAAATTATCTCGATGACTGGCTCATCCTCGCCCAGTCAGAGAACGAGCTAGTATCCCACAGATCCTTACTCCTCAGCCACTTGGGACTCAGGGGACTCAGGGTAAACTTTGCCAAGAGCGTGCCATCTCCCAGCCAACGGATATCGTTCCTGGTCGACTCAGCCGACTCAGCCCGAATGAGGGCGGTAGTCGCGCCAGATTGTGCACTGGCTATTCGGCAGCTCGCGGCCTCATTCGAAATTAGCAGGGCCTCATGGCCTCTGCGTCTCCAGTACTTCAGCTGGGCCTGCTTCGCATACGGCCCCTTCAGTACTGGCTGAAACCACGAGTTCCGTCCCACGCCTGGCGCCATGGACGTATGCGTGTCAAGGTGAGCCGGACCTGCGTAGCAGCCCTGGCCCCTTGGAAAGACTCTCAATGGATGGATTGGGGCATGCCCCTGGGTATGGTCTGCAGTAAGTGCGAGGGCAAACCAACTCTCGGCCCCTGGTCAAAAGAGGACAGTCGGTTACACATCAACTGCCTGGAAATTCTGACAGTGTGTCGAGCCCTTCGGACCTTTCAGCCAGACCTAAAGGGCCACCACGTGCTAGTCCGCTCAGACAGCATGACAGTGGTGTCATATATAAATCGCCAGGGCGGTCTCTCCTCGAAGCGCCTCTTCATTCTGGTAGAGTGCCTCCTGGAATGGCCTCAGCTACACTTGCGTTCTCTAAGAGCAGCACATGTGCTGGGCAAGTTGAACCAGGGAGCGGACATGCTATCCTGGAGAAACGTCCCCTCAGAAGAGTGGATGCTCCACCCGCATACGGTTCAGAGAATCTGGGAGATCTTCGGCAAGGCAGAGGTCGACCTCTTCGCCTCAGAAGACAACTCTCACTGCCCAATTTACTTTTCGAAGGACAAGGATGCGTTGGCCCACGACTGGCCCAACCTCCTCCTTTACGCTTTTCCCCCGATCACCCTGATCCCACAGGTAATCAGGTGAATCAAGGAGCGGAAACACAGGGTTCTGTTGGTGGCCTCGCTCTGGAGGACCCAACACTGGTTCGCAGAGCTGTCTCAGCTGCTTATAGCAGCCCCATGGCCCATTCCCCTGAGACGAGACCTCCTCTCTCAGGCAAACAGAACGATATGGCACACCTAGCCTGAACTGTGGGCCCTGCACCTCTGGCCTCTCGACGGGTGCCTGCGGACCTCCCCGAGAGCGTGCTAAACATGATCTCTCAGGCTAGAGCACCCTCTACAAGGCGGCTCTATGCCCTTAAATGGTCTGTCTTCTCCGCCTGGTGTAAGACCCGCGGAGCAGACCCAATTTCCTGCGACATATCTCTGATATTGTCCTTCCTGCAGGAGCTGTTGGATAAGGGTCGTTTCCCCTTCCACGCTCAAGGTCTATGTAGCAGCCATAGCAGCTTCACATGCTCCTATAGCTGGCCAGTCAGTGGGCAGGAACATCCTTATTGTTTGATTTTTGAAAGGGTCTAGGAGGCTCAACCCGCCTCGCCCTGTCACCGTCCCTACATGGGACCTGCCTACGGTGTTGAGGGCTCTGAAGGGCCCTCCCTTTGAGCCGCTACAGTCTGTTGACCTTCGTCCCCTGACGCTAAAATGATTTAAAAGGCATAATTTAATTTTTTTGAGATAAATTTTACTTTTCTTTCTCCATCAGGGTGTGGCCAAAGGTTTCATTGATGCTTTTGTCATCATTGTAAGTTTACAGATGCTAGCCAGTCAGTTCTTCCAAGGCACTACCAACTCAAACACTGGCACGAGACCAGACTGCTCCACTGCAACTACATAGTGTGTGTGTGTACTTTCAAGACTAAGACTTTGTTTTCATTCCAGGTAATATCAGTAAATGTTTAGAGCTTTTACTACAATTAAAATGTGCTTTATTGTTCTCCGTTCAGGTTCAGAGAATTTTAGTAAATGTTTAGAGAAATGTCATGGAAATCCAATACATTTAAATGTCATAAAATGAAAACAGTGATTTATAATTAAATATTCACTGTAACACCTGGTTCATTTAACTTTTTCTAACTTCTGCCTCATTTTAAAGATGTAACTATGAACAGTTGTAATATTTAGCTTTAGTCTTTTTTTTAGTTCATTAAACATACGTGACCCTGCCTGTGAAAACCCAGCTAAAGTCATTTTTTTGTGATTTACTGTTTTCTACATAAAATTATCCTTCATAATGATGTAGAACATTCTGTGAAAATATAACCTTTATATCTTTAATATTGACTGAGTAAGGCCATGTCAAAGATTGAAATCATAGTGAAATTAATGGTTGAAATCAAACTGATGCTTGTTATCTCATAATTAGATTTAGACTTTAGCCTGGATTTCACAGACAGGGTCACATATGTTTAAAATGAATTTTGCAGTTGTATTACAAATGTAATGTTTGTCAACTGAAGCACTTTCAAGGGATAGTTCACCCAAAAATGAAAATTTGCTGTTAATTTACTGACCCTCAGGCTATCCGGGATTTAGGTGACTTTTTTTCTTCTTCAGTGGAACAGTAAAGATGATTTTTATCTGAAACCGTGATCCTTGGTGATTCATTATACACTGCATGTCTGTGTGGTTTTTGAGAGTCAAAAAAACTAAACAAAAAACAGACAAGACCAAATGAATACCCGTGGCTCCTGGTGATACACTGAGGTCTTATAAAGCGAAACGATCAGTCTGTGCAAGAAAATCAAACATTTTTTACAACATTATTACCTTTAATCCAAAGCCCGGGCAAACGTTTCTCAGCGTGTTCATGGCTGTCTAGAGCGTGAACTTCCTCTGTCGCATAATGACGCCGACGACGCTGTTTGTTTACAATGGAAAGTGAGGTCTCGTGTGCAAACTGACAGAGATGACCAAGTACACACATGAGCTGATGCTGTTGGTTTACAACGGACAGTGAGGACTCGTGTACAGACCTTAACCAGCAGTACCAGCGTCTAAAGCTCACAACGTAAGTTATAATGGCTCATGATTTCAATGAGAAAGAGGATTCTTGGTCGGAGTATTCTGGCTCAAACAAGTAGCGATGTAAAATTCCATGTCTTCCTCTTTCACATCGAAATCATCAGCGTCAGCTCACGCGTGTTCTTTGTCATCTCTGTCAGTTTGCACACGAGTCCTCACTCTCCGTTGTAAACTAACAGCATCATCAGCTTATGTGTGAGTATGCGCGCCCATGCACACCTCATTAAGCAACAGTAGAAGACAGTCCTGAACACACTGAGAAACGTTTGCCCAGGCTGTGGATTAAACTGTAAATGTCTCTGAGTTTTGTTACTGTTCTGTGCCCATCATCTGTTATTTTCACCACTTAATAAAGTCGCTCTTCTTTAAAACATGATGACATTTCATTCGACATGTCATAGCATTTGTGTTAGCTCTCGTGTTGAGCTACTCCGTCCGCAACCAAGTATTCAGTTTCTTGCACAGACCGATCGTTTCACTTCATAAGACCTCAATGTGTTATCAGGAGCCACTGGTAATTTGGTCTTGTCTGTATATGTTTTTTTGACTCTCAAAAACCGGCAGCCACAGATGTGCGGTTTCACCTAAAAACGTCTTTACTGTTCTACTGAAGAAAAAAAGTCACCTACATCTCAGATGGCCTGAGGGTGAGTAAATTAACTGCAAATTTAGATTTTTAGGTTAACTATCCCTTTAAGCCTGTACGTTTAGTCTGTATGACAAATGTTATAAATACAGACTGTTATTAAATAAAGGCTTTTACGTGTTCTCGTGTGTTTTTTTAGTGATCGATAGACACCAGTTAATACTTTTGTTAAACTCAGTATAAAATGTAATACGTAGTCCCACAGCTATTTCTTATGAGGCCCAAATAATACATCTTAGTTTAGGTAACATATGAACCACATGGAGTAAATAGTTACATTTTAATTGACAATATTTGCTGTAGTTTTCTAAATGTTTGACCAATTAAAACATTTTAGTTGAATGGACTATAAAACTAGTTCAGTAAAGGTTGAGCCAACTAAAAAAATAACAATTTAAGTAACACTTTGAAGAGAGAAATTAAATGAACGTAAAAGGGGCCTTTTTGAGGCCAATTATTTATTAGGCTTTAATATAATATAATATATAATATAATATAATATAATATAATATAATATAATATAATATAAAACATAGGCTACATTTTCAATAAATATGTTCAAAAACCATGAACGTGAATTCTTATAGTTATCTAAACATTCCCATGCATGTTTGCACAGCTGTGTAACTGTAAATGTCTCTGAGTTTTGTTACTGTTCTGTGCCCATCATCTGTTATTTTCACCACTTAATAAAGTCGCTCTTCTTTAAAACATGATGACATTTCATTCGACATGTCATAGCATTTGTGTTAGCTCTCGTGTTGAGCTACTCCGTCCGCAACCAAGTATTCGATTTCTACAGCGACTGATTTGGCGCACATCATTCTCTTTCTATGAAACCTGTAAACCATATTCATCGGTTCTATAGCGCCACCAACTCTATAGAGGTTTGCCCGAGCATTGCAATTATTTTGCATTTACCAGAATTCAATCAAATGGCTTGCAGCTTAGAGGGAACATTGGTTGTAACACTAGATGGTGGTAACAAAAATTCTAGGCATGCAAGAAAGTGAAGCAATTCCTGCTACACATCTGAAAGAATTCCATTGGCTACGTGAGTCTTGCGTCTCATCTCCAGGATGGATCAAAACATCCAAAAGCTGTCAGGTGGCATTTTTCTGCAACTCCACTCAAATTCATATGGCAGCATGTTTATGCCCCATGGATCTGCCTGACTTCAATCACGGCTAACTTTCTGTAGTTTTCTAAATGTTTGACCAATTAAAACATTTTAGTTGAATGGACTATAAAACTAGTTCAGTAAAGGTTGAGCCAACTAAAAAAATAACAATTTAAGTAACACTTTGAAGAGAGAAATTAAATGAACGTAAAAGGGGCCTTTTTGAGGCCAATTATTTATTAGGCTTTAATATAATATAATATATAATATAATATAATATAATATAATATAATATAATATAATATAAAACATAGGCTACATTTTCAATAAATATGTTCAAAAACCATGAACGTGAATTCTTATAGTTATCTAAACATTCCCATGCATGTTTGCACAGCTGTGTAACTGTAAATGTCTCTGAGTTTTGTTACTGTTCTGTGCCCATCATCTGTTATTTTCACCACTTAATAAAGTCGCTCTTCTTTAAAACATGATGACATTTCATTCGACATGTCATAGCATTTGTGTTAGCTCTCGTGTTGAGCTACTCCGTCCGCAACCAAGTATTCGATTTCTACAGCGACTGATTTGGCGCACATCATTCTCTTTCTATGAAACCTGTAAACCATATTCATCGGTTCTATAGCGCCACCAACTCTATAGAGGTTTGCCCGAGCATTGCAATTATTTTGCATTTACCAGAATTCAATCAAATGGCTTGCAGCTTAGAGGGAACATTGGTTGTAACACTAGATGGTGGTAACAAAAATTCTAGGCATGCAAGAAAGTGAAGCAATTCCTGCTACACATCTGAAAGAATTCCATTGGCTACGTGAGTCTTGCGTCTCATCTCCAGGATGGATCAAAACATCCAAAAGCTGTCAGGTGGCATTTTTCTGCAACTCCACTCAAATTCATATGGCAGCATGTTTATGCCCCATGGATCTGCCTGACTTCAATCACGGCACAACCAAAATGAATGAGATGTGAGTCTCTTAGTAAACAGAAGCTCAGACTGTTTGGCACCTCTTCCACAAAAAAAAAAGAAAGAAAGAAAGAAAAAAAGACTAGTTTTCTTGCCTCTGCTCAAGGGGAGACATCAAAGAGTGAGAATGAATTAATTCTAACTCAAAATATGACTGCCCTACACATACCCTCTACAGATCACTTCAGTACTACGTCTGTGATGCAATTGAAGCTGAAAACATCGAAATCTGGCCTAAGTTTTAAATATAATACAGAAATCATGGTGACCAAATAATCCTATTGGCAAGTAAAGGTTTTGATGTAAATGATTACAGCTCTATTGCCAATACCCCACAGTGCAGAAAGGGCTTCCATTAGCTGCTTTGTCATTCAAATGAAACCCATTCACGGAGTACTATGGCAACAAACAAACTCGACAAAACAAATACACTGGTTTGATATTAAAGACCCCATTTGATGCATCCAGTGAAAACAGAAAAAGGAAAAAAGATGAGAATGTTGTACAATCTACTAAACATTTTATATATGAGATGATACAATTAAATAAAAAATGAAAATACAATTAAAATAAATAAAGAAAAATAGTGCTATCATTAACTTTCAGCATTGCATTTACACAATAGGGATGTGTGAAACTATAAAAAGAAAATATAAAAAATGTATTTAATATGATTAATATTACTAAATTATTAATATTATTAAAAATTACATTAAATAATATTATTATAATATTATAAATAAAACATATAGAGTGATATACAGGTTTTTCACACTCTTTTTCATGCTAAAACTCTCATGTGCTTGTTAGAGTGATATCACTATACAGTTCTGCTGCATGACCCTGAGGATATGACACTTGACTCCACCAATGTTGTGCAAACACTACAAAAAGGTGTGTGTACGATTGTGTGAGAAGTGTTTACATTGTCCTCCCACCATTAAAACAGATCGGATCATTGCTTAGCAAAAGACACTTTGATATGTTGAAAGGCCCTAAACAAAAGAAAAAACCCACAACATGGATTAATGCAATTTCTTTTTAAACCACACAGCTTCTTCAAAGTATGGATAATTGCAAACTGAGCCCTAGAAGTTTAAGAAATGTGATTTTAAATAAGCTTGACTTTAAATGTCTGGAATGCAGTTGAAGGAATGAACGGAAGATCTGTGCTTTCAGTAAACAGCAGCAACATCTAACAGAACAGCAAAAATGACTTGATTTTGATATTTTCTGAAGTAAATGTGATGCTTGCTTGTTCAAAAGTCTCTTGATTCGAAACCGATTCTGTAAAAAGGTTAACTACTTAAAAGTAAACACTGTGAATCATACTAAAGAGATACTAGTATAACTTGTCCCTGAACTGTAATGCGTAGCTCAGATAACAGCAAGATCAGATTCAGGTCTGATGCCGGACAGAACTGAGGATTTGACTCCTGCCGCTCTACATGGAGTTCTGGATTATAAAACGCACTAATCTCTGTGGTAGTGCTCCGTATCTCTGAAGACAATTTGGGTCTTTGGTTTGATATGTAAAATAAATAACTAGAATGAACCAATGCAAGTAAAGTTGTATATATGGTATCGCACATTTAGTTTAATGCATACACATGTATTTAGACACTAGTATCTCACAAACAAGTTGCATGTGAGATACTATATGCAGGACGTTAAGATGCGTGCTCTGCAGTTATAAACGCACAAAAGCATCTCACACATACAGCTGTTGCAGGTTTCCATACATCATTTAACAAATGTTCTCAAGTGTGTTGGAGGGATAAAAAATATATACTGCAATGCACAGGGTAAATCATGCACACTGTAACGCCCCTGTGGACTGTTTATTGTGGTTTCTTCCCCTTTTGTTGGTTTAGCCCGTACTATCATTAGTTAATTACCCTCATTGTACTCACCTGTCTGCCACTAATTATCCACCCTATATCAGTTCCTGTCCATTGTGTTCCAGTTTGTCGGTTATTGTGAATATTACCCTGAGTGTGTGTGTGTCTCTCATTCCTGAATCTGCCTTGTTGTGTCTACATTAAATATCTTTATTGGAATCCTTGTCGTCCTCGTCATCCTGCCTGCCTCCACACACCGTGACCGTGACAGCACACGCAACAGCGTCTCAAACATGCCACATAAAACGGGTCAAACACCAGCAGGTACACACTGTGTCCTTTCCACTTGACTTAAGTATGCATATGACAATTCTGATAATAACATGAAAGAAACAGTAAAAGAATAGTTCACCCAAATATGGAAACCCTGTCATTTCAAACCGTATAAATTTCTATTGCAATTTTTTAAAGAATATGCTGGGCTGGGGTTGTCAAGCTCCAAAATTACAAAAAAGTATCATTAAATTGGTTCATATGTCATTTATTTAAAGTCTTTTAAGTTAACAGTTTCATATGAGAAACAATCTGAAACCATTCATAATTCACTCAAAACCTTGACATGAATCAGTGATGTCTGATACGTGAATGAATTGTCCTTTGAATCTGATCGTTTTACTCAAACCGGTCAGACGGATTCATTCACAACTCGTTTTTATTCTGTTCAAAATGTTCATTTTGGGATAAACTATTCATTTAAGCAAATGGATTACCCCACATATCTTTGTGAAACAAAAGTATTAATCTCTTTTAAATCAACATTTCTTCTTACATCTCATGACTGAAAAACACTAAAATAACCCCCATAAACTAAATATGTGCTGAGAATAAATTTGTCTCCTCTTCCTGGGTGCTTATGAAAGATTTA